AAGTTTCCTTCTAAACACTGCCATAGCTGTGTCTCCGAGATCCTGCTATGTTTTCTCTTTGTTCTGATTAGTTTCAAAGAACTTCTTGATTTCTGCCTTAATTTCGTTATCTACCCAAAAGTCATTCAGGAGCAGGTTGTTTAATTTCCACATAGTTGCTTTGTGTTGAGTGATTTTTTTCAGTCTTGATTTCTGTTTTTATTGTGCTGTGGTGCGAGAGCGTGTCTGGTGTGACTTCTGTTCTTTTGCATCTGCTGAGAATTGTTTTATATCTAATTGTGTGCTTGATTTTAGAATATGTGCCACATGGGGATGGGAAGAATAATGTATATTGTGTTGTTTGGGGGTGGATAGTTCTGTATACATCTGTCAGAGCCATTTGGTTCAATGTTGAGTTCAAGTCCTGAATATCTTTGTTAGTTTTCTGCCTCAGTGTTCTGACTAATATTATCAGTGGGGCATTGGAGTCTCCCACTATTATTGTGTGGGAGTGTAAGTCTGTTGGTAGGTCTCTAAAAACTTGCTTTATGAATCTGAGTGCTCCTGTGTTGGGTGTATCTATATTTAGGATAGTTAAGTCTTCTTACTGAATTGAACTCTTTACCATTATGTAATGCCCTTCTTTGAGTTTTTTGATCTTTGTTGGTTTAAAGTCTGTTTTGTCTGAAGTTAGGATTGGAATTCTTGCTTTTTTCTGATTTCTATTTTCTTGGTAGATTTTCTTCCATCCCTTTATTTTGAGCCTATGGATGTCATTGTGTGTGAAATGGGACTCTCGAAGATGGCATACCATTGGATCTTGCTGTTTTATCCAGCTTGCCACAGATTAGTATTGTACTACATGTCTTTTAAATGGGGCATTTAGCACATTTACATTCAAGATTAGTATTGATATGTGTGGATTTGAACCTGTCATTGTGGTGTTAATTGGTTATTATGCCAGCTTGTTTGTGAGATTGGTTTATAGTATCACTGCTCTATGTACTTAGATGTGTTTTTGTAGTGGTTAGTAACTGTCTTTCCTTCCATACTTAGTGCTCCTTTCAATATCTCTTGTAAAGCAGGTCTGATGATAACAAACTCTCTTAGCATTTGCTTATCTGGAAAGGACCTTATTTTTCCTTCACTTAGGGAGCTTATTTTGGCTAGATATGAAATTTTTGGTTGAAGATTTTTCCTTTAAAAATATTGAATATAGGCCTCAAATCTCTTCTGGCTTGTGGGGTTTCTACTGAGGTGTCCACTGTTAGCCTGATGGGATTCCCTTTGTAGGTGATCTCCCCTTTCTCTCTAGTGTTGCGGGAAGTCAGGGACCCTGAACGGAGGGACCGACTGAAGCTGCGGCAGAAGAACATAAACTGAAGATTTCATGGACATTTATTAGTTCCCCCAAATTAATACTTTTATGTTTTCTTATGCCTGTCTTTATTGTAATCTCTGAACATAAATTGTGATGATTTCATGGACACTTATCACTTCCCCAATGAATATTCTTGTGATTTCCTATGCCTGTCTTTACTTTAATCTCTTAATCCCATCATCTTTGTAAACTGAGGAGGATGAACGTCACCTCAGGAGCCTGTGATTGTGTCAACTGCACAAATTGTTTGTAGAGCATGTGTGTTTGAATATGAAATCTGGGCATCTTAAAAAAAAGAACAGTATAACAGCAATGTTCATGGAACAAGGACGTAACTTTGAACTGGCTGCCGGTGAGCCGATGGAACAGAGCTATATTTCTCCTCTTTCAAAAGCAAATAGGAGAAATATAGCTGAATTCTTTTTCTCAGCAAGGAACATCCCTGAGAAAGAGAATGCGCCCTGAGGGTAGGGCTATGAACAGCCCTCTCAAAGCTTGCCATCTTTTATGGTTGAAGCCGAAGGGATGAAATAAACCAGCCCCGGTCTCCTATAGTGCTCCCAGGTTTATTAGGATGAGAAAATTCCCACCTAATAAATTGTGGTCAGACAGGTTATCTTCTCACAAACCCTGTTTCCTGATAAGATGTTATCGATGACAATGCCTACCGAAACTTCATTAGCAATTTTAATTTCACCTCATCCGGTGGTCCTGTGATCTCGCCCTGTCTCCATTTGCTTTGTGATATTTTATTACATTGTGAAGCATGTGATCTCCGTGACCCACACCCTATTCGTGCACTCCCTCCCCTTTTGAAAATCGCTAATAAAAACTTGCTGGTTTTACGGCTCGGGGAATATCACGGATCTTGCTAACATGTGATGTCTCCGCTGGACACCCAGCTTTAAATTTCTCTCTCTTGTGCTCTTTCCCTTTATTTCTCAACCCAGCCGAGACACTTAGGAATTAGAAAAGAACCCAGGTTAAACATTGGGAGAGGGTTCTCCCAATACTCTAGCTGTCTTTAACATTCATTTTTTCATTTCAACCATGTAAAACTTGATTGCTATGTGCCTTGAGGATCATCTTCTTGCGTGGAATCTTGCAAGGGTTCTCTCTATTTCCTGAGTTTGACTCTTGGCCACTCTAGCATGGTTGGAGAAGTTTTCGTGGACTCTATACTGAAATATGTTTTTCAAGTTATTTGCTTTCTCCCTCTCCCTTTCAGAGATGCCAATGATTCATAAATTTGGCCTCCTTACATAATCTCATATTTCTTCAAGGTTTTGCTCATTCCTTTTCATTCTTTTTTCCTTTATTTTTGTTTGACTGTCTTATTTCAGAGAACCAGCCTTCAAGTTCCAAGATTTTTTTCCTAGTTTGGTCTATTCTGCTGTCAATACTTGTGACTGCATTGTGAAATTCTTGTAGTGTGTTTTTCAGCTCTATCGGACCAGTGAGGTTCTTTTTTTTTTTTTTTTTTTTTTTTTTTTTTTACCAGCTAGTTCATCTATGAGCTCCAGTATCATTTTATTATGATTCTTAATTTCCTTGGATTGGTTTTTGCTGTTCTCCTGAATCTCACTGATCTTTGTTCCAATCCATATTCTGAATTCTATTTCTGTCATTTTAGCCAAGTCAGTCTGGTTAAGAACCTTTTTTAAAGAGTTAGTGTGTTTATTTGGAGGACATAAGACACTGGCCATTTGAGTTGTTGGAGTTCTTGCATTGGTTCTTTCTCATCTCTGCATGTGACTGTTCTCTAACTGCTAGGCTGTTGAAGTAGTCAGGCAGCAGCAGGGTGGTTGCGCTGAAGTGTCAGGTCAGGCAGCCCTGCTCAGTGAGGAGAAGTGAGGATGGGGGCATGCATGGAGAACAGTCCAGCTACTTTTCCGTGAAATGGGTGTTCTGTCCTGGGGGTCTGGACCAGTCCGTAATCCTGGGTACTCTCCAGAGCCTGGAAAGAGCAAGGGCAAGGGCTGTGAGAAAGCAAAAATGGCAACCTGCTCCTCCCACTGGGTACTCTGTGCCAGGAAGTTGCTACTGGCTTGATAGTTCCAGTTGGAGGTGGCTGGAGAGCCAGGCTGGGAGGACCAACCCAGAGAGGAGATATGGGATCAGGGACCCATGTAACAAGCAGTCAGGCTACTTTTCCACAGGGCTGCTGAAGTATGCTGGGCGTCCACTCTAGTACCTAGTTACCTCAGATTTTCTAGTACCTGAAGACATCTTCACTGAGGGCTGCAAAACAGCAAAGATTGTGGCCTGCTTCTCCATCTGAGAGCTCCGTCCCACGGAGGTACAGATCTATTGCTGGCCTGAACACACTGGCAGTGGTGGCTGGAAACCTCGGGAGGGAGCTCCCACCCAGTGGGGAGGAAGGGGATCGGGTACTTACATCACAGAGCACTCTGGCACTTTTCCATAGAGCAGCTGTGCTGTGCTGGGGGCCTGCTCCAGTGCCCAGTCACCTTAAACTCTCCAAAGCCTGAAGGTGACAATGGCTAAAGCTACAAAACAGCAAAGATGGTGGCCCACCTCTCCCTTTGGGAGCTCCAACCCAAGTAAGTTTGGAACTGCTGCTGGCTGGAAAACACCTATGGGGGTGGTTGTAGACCTTGGTTGGGGGATTCCACTCAGTGAAGAGAAATGGGTTCCAGGATCTGTATGAAAAAGCAGTCTGGCTGCCTCTTCATAGAGCTACGGTGCTGTGCTGTGGGACCGCTCTTGTCCCTAGACACCTGGAACTCCCCAGAACCTGAAGGCATCAATTACTAAAGCTGCAAAATAGCTAAGTGGGCAGACTACCTGTCCCACTGGGATCTGTTTCTCAGGGAAATGTAATGTTGCTACTCATAGCTAGCTGGAGTTCCAAGCCAGAGGGTCTTATCCTGCAAGATGCCATGGAAGCAAGGCCTGCAGACTGTGGCTGCTCAGCCCCCTAAATTCAGCCTCTTTCCTAGGGGTATGTATTATGGGGGTCTTACCTCCTGTTTTGCTGGAGTTGCAGCCACTTTTGCCAGGAACGCTGGGTTTCTGAAGCTTCTGGGGCTCCACATATGCCTGAGCAGCTAGCTGCTCTGCTGAGACTCCACATAGCTTGGTATGTTAGAATGAAGGCCCTGGGGGACTGGGTTTATGAGGGAATCTCCTGACCCAAGAGTTGCAAAGATCCATGGGAGAAACATGGATCCCCAGGGTTGCTCACTCACTCACTGCTTCCCTGGGTTGGGGAGGCTCCTCTGGCTCCAAGCCACTCCGAGTGGGCGGTCATCCTGCCTTGCCTTGCTCCATCCTTTGCAGGTCAGGTTCTTTTCTTAATGAAACCCAATGCTTGTACCTAGATGTTTCAGTTGACGGTTACTTTCCCCTTCTATTTGTTTCCATGAGACTGGCACACACTAACTGCTTCTAGTTGGCCATTTTCTGGCATAGAATTTTCATTTCTACTGCAAGTTGTTTCTGTTTAATTTTTTTCTGCATGTAGAATATCTTCTTTCAATTCTTCTTTCATAATTCTATATATATAAATATATAAATCCTTGACAAATGTACTATTTTGTATATATTTCTGTGTTTGACATTCTTACAAATAATTTAGTTATTAATCTTATGTTGCTTACTCTTTTTTTTTCCTCAGTCTTATGTTTTGGGCATTCATCTATCCTCTCTTCAGCTTTTGATCTATCACATCTTGGGTAAGTATGTAAACCAATTCACTTCCTCCATTGCATAGAATTCCTTCTTGTGCACGTAACTTAATTTATATATAAAGAATAGTACCCAAGTTGTTTTCAGTGCTTTACTACTATACACAAGCTACAATGACCATCCTGTTAGTGGTCAGTGTGAATATCAGCTACGCTCCCTAGCAAGCTTAATCCAGTGGTGAAATTGCTGAATCAAAGGAGAAATGAGAACTTAGTTGTAATGCTTTCTGGAATGGTTACATCAGTAGATATTGCATCGTTGCTTGTGGTGGGTTTCTTTCTTTCTTTCTTTCTTTTTTTTTTTTTTTTTTTTTTTTTTTTTTGAGATGAAGTCTTGCTCTGTCACTCAACCTGGAGTGCAGTGGTGTGATCTTGGCTCATTGCAACCTCCACCTCCTGGGTTCAAGCAATTCTCCTGTCTCAACCTCCCCAGTAGCTGGAATTACAGGCATGCGCCACCATGCCCGGCTACTTTTTTTGTATTGTTAGTAGAGATGGGTTTCACCATGTTGGTCAGGTTGGTCTTGAACTGCTGAACTCAAATGATCCATCTGCCATGGCCTCCCAAAGTGCCAGGATTACAGGCATGAGTCACCGCACCCAGCTGGGTTTCTTGTTTTCAACGTAATTAACACATTTACTAATATCCAGCTATCCAATGTTGTCAGTGATAAGTAAACTTGTATCTCTTTGTGCAATTTACTTTTGTCTTTTTTTTTTCTGGCTATTACTGAGGTTACGTATGTACTTATATTAATTAGTCTTTGAGATTTTTCTTACTTTGAATTGTCTATTTCTTTATTTTTATATGAGTTTTCTCATCCATTTAAAGGAGTTCCAGGTATAATATATGTGTTCATCCCTTGTTGGTTTTAGATGTTTAAATATATTTACCCAGTCTATCTCAATTTTTTTGTCTATAGAATCCTTAATCGAACAGATGTTTTTGATAGAGTTGTCGTTCAATGGAGTAATCAATAGATGCCACATATTTACAGTTGATGGATGAGTTATTGAATTCCAGTTATTGAGTTCAAGTATGTTCTTACTGACTTTTTGACTGCTGAATCAGTTCATTTCTGAATGGTATCTCCAACTATAATACTGGACTCATTTATTTTTTCTTGCAGCTCTGTCAGTTTTTGCTTTTTGTCTCATCTATTTTGACACTTTCTTGTTAAACACATATACTTTAAGGTTTGTTATATCTTTTTGGCATGTTAGCTCTATTATCAATATATTATGTCTCTCTTTATCTCTGATAACTTTACTCGCTCTGAAGTCTGCTCTAAATGCAACATAAATATTAAAATTAACAGATACTTTGCTTTTTTTAAAATTGGTGCTAGCCAGGTATATTTTTCTTTACTCATTTACTTTAAATGTGTACGTGTGTTTATATTCAAAGTGGGTTTCTAATAGATGACATATAGTTGAGTCTTCTTGTTTGATATACTCAATCTTTGTCTTTTGTTAGTGTATTTAGACTTGATATTTAAGATTAATATTGATACTATTCAATTAATTTCTGCCATATTTGTTTGCATTTTCTGTTTGCTTTCCTTTTCATTTTGTCTATTTTTGTTTTCACAGTTTTTCTCTTTTTTATAGTTTTATTATTTATTTAATTTTTTGTTTTTAATTATTATAAATGCATAATAGTTGCACATATTTATGGGGTAGCTGTGAAATTTTGATCCAAGCATAAAAGGTGCACTGCCCAAATCAGGCTAATTGGGATATCCATCATCTCACGCATTTATCATTTCTTGGTGTTAGGAGAGTTCCAATTCTACTCTTTTTGTTATTTTGAAATATACAATAAGTTATTGTTAGCTACAGTTGTCCTATTTTGCTACCAAATACTAGGTTTTATTCCTTCAATATAATTCTATTTTTTTTTGCCCATGAAATATACTGTTTTATCACTCTCCCACCTACTACTCTTTCCAGCCTGTGGTAACCATCATTCTACTTTATCTCCATGAGATAAATTTTTTTAACTTTCACATGTGAGTGACAACATGTGACATTTGTCTTTCTGTGCTTGGTTTATTTCATTTAACATAATAATTGGTCCCATCCATATTGCTACAAATGATAAGATTTCATTCATTTTATGTCCATTAATTCCATTTTATACATCTACATTTGCTTTATTCATTAACCCACTGCTGAACACTTAGGTTGATTCCATATATTGGCTATTGTGACAGTGGATTACATGATAGTTCTATTTTTAGTTTTTTGAGGAATCTCCAAATTGTCTTCCATACTGGCTGTACTAATTTATATTCTCACCAGCAGTGTACGAGGGCTCCCCTTTCTTCACACATGCCAGCTTTGCCTGTCTTTTGATAAAAGCCATTTTAACTGGAGTGAGATGATACCTCATTTTAGCTTTGATTTGCACGTCTCTGACAATTAATGATGTTGAGCATTTTTACATATACCTGTTGGCCATCTGTATGTCTCATTTTAAGAATGCTTATTCTGATATTTTTTTCCATTTTAAACCAGATTATTTGACTTTTTGCTATTGAGTTGTTTGAGCTCCTTATATTCAGGTTATTAATCCCCTGTCAGATGGGTAGTTTGTAAATATTTCCTCACATTCTGTGGTTTGCCTCTTCACTTTGTTGAATATTCTCTTTGATGTGCCGAAGCTTTGTAGCTTGATGAGAAGATTAAAAACCATATGATCATTTCGATAGATACTGAAAAGCATTTAATAAAATTCAGTATCCCTTCATGATAAAAACTCTCAAAAAACTGGGTATTGAAGAAACATACCTCAAGACAATAATAACTGTATATGACAAACTTATAGCTGGTATCATACTGAAGAACAACAGAAAGCCTTTCCTTTTCATTTTTTTCTTTCTCTTTTTTTTTTTTTGACAAAGTCTTGTTCTGTCACCTGGGCTACAGTGCGGTGGCATGATCTCGGCTCACTGCAGCCTCGGCCTACCAGGTTCACGTGATTCTCCTGTTTCAGTCTCTCGAGTAGCTGGGATTACAGGTATGTGCCACCACACCCAGCTAATTTTTGTATTTTTAATAGGGACGGGGTTTCACCATGTTGGCCAGGCTAGTCTCGAACTCCTGACCTCAAGTGATCCACCCACCTCGGCCTCGCAAAGTGCTGGGATTTGTGAGGGCCATGAGCCAGTGCACCTGGCTGAAACAAGATAAGGATGCCCACTTTCACCACTTTTATGTAACATAATACAGGAAGTCCTAGCCAGAGAAATTACATAAAGGAAAGAAATAAAAGGCATCCAAACTGGAATGGAAGAGATCAAATTATTCTTGTTTTCAGATTACATAATCTTATTTTCAGAAAAACCTAAAGATTCCACAAACAAAACCACTAGAACTAATAAACAAATTCAGTAAAGTTGCAGGATACGAATCAACATACAAAAAAGAATAGCATTTATGTATGCCAACAAAAACAGTCTGAAATAGAAACTATGAAAGTAATACCATTTACAATAGCCACAAACAAAATAAAATACATAGTAATAAACTTAACCAAAAAAGTGAAAGATCTCTACAATGAAAACTATAAAACATCAATAAAAGAGATGAAAGAAGACACCAAAAAAAAAAGAAAAGATATTCCATGATGATGAACCGAAAGAATCAATGTTATTAAAATGTCCATTCTACCCAAGGCAATTTATAGATTCAACGCAATCCTTATCAAAATACCAATGACATTCTTCATAGAAATAGAAAATATAAGACTAAAATGTATATAGAATCAGAAAAGGCCCTGAATAGCTAAGGCAATCCTGAGCTAAAGAACAAAGCTGAAGTCCACACGTTACTCAACTTCAAATTCTACTACAAAGTTATAGCAATGGAAACATTGTAGTACTGGCATACAGACACATAGACCAATAGAATAGAATAGAGAACTCAGAAATAAATCCACACATTTTCAGTTAACTCACTTTTGACAGAGGTATTAAAGACATGCATTGGAGAAAGGAATGTTTCTTCAACAAATAGCTCTGGGAAAACTGGATATCTATATACTGGAGAATGAAACTAGACTGCTATCTCACTGTACACAAAAATAAAATCAAAATTAACTAAAGACTTACATCTAATACCTGAAACTATGAAATACTGGGTAACCATTTCAGAATATTGGTGTGAGGAAAGATTTCTTGAATAAGACCTCAGAACCACATTCAACCATAGTAAAAATGGACAAATTAGATCACATTATGTATTTTACACCTTGAATATTTTCTGATTTTATTTTCCCTCATTTCTTAGCATGTTAATCACACTTTTTTTCTCTGTACTTTTCTAGTTGTTACGTTAGAATTTTGCAACATACATTTACAATTAATCCAAACCTGCTTTCAAATAACACCTTATCACCATGTAGGTAATGCAAGTACCTTGTAATAACAAAATATTACTAGCTTCTCACTTCTGTCCTTATAGTATTGCTACTTTCATTTCACATATGTATATGCATGCATATATTTGTGTATGAGTATATATATATATACATACATATATATGGACACATAATTGAATACACTGTTGCTATTATTTTTATTGTTATCTGTTAAATAAGGAAAAGAAAAGTTAGTATTTTACGTTTACATATTCATTTTCTGGTGCTTTTCCTTTATTTATCTTGATCTGAATTTCTGACCTACATAATTGTCTTCCCTATGAAGAACTTCTTTTGTAAGGCAGGTTTAATAACAAAAAAAAAAAATCCCTTAATTTTTATTTTTCTGAGAGAATCCTTATTGCTCCTTTACTTTTGAAGAATAACTTCACGAGGTGCAGAGTTTTAAGTTGGTGGGTTTTATCTCTTAACACTTAAAATATTTTATCCCACTCTCTTCTTGCCTGCTGTGCAGCAAGCTTGCTTGCTTCCTTGTTTCTCAGGATAAGTCAGTTGTAGTTCTCTGCTCCTCTATAGGTGAACTGTTTTTTTCCTCTGGTTTCTC